AGGAAAGGACTCTGTTACTCTGATTTAAATTCCATTTCTTTTATCATACAACCGCGGCTAAAAAAGGAATTTCGGAATTCTGGATAGAGAACTACGCTACCAAGTAAACATTCCTGCTAAACATTAATTTCCTTGCTGCTGAAAGCATCCCTGTACGCAGCAGTGGATTTTCCTTCTGGGAGATTCATCTTTGGAATCAGAAAGGTTCTCCTCTGACAAAATTTAACATTAGAATCCCTTAAGAGAGATAAGGGAAACACACTGCTCTTTGATCCATGTGCACAGCCAAACTACAGTATGTCAGAGCAGAAACTCTCCACGTCCTGACAGTCTTCGGTAAGGGGCTGGAAGGTCAACGGCCATGTGTCAGCGCACCACATATTGTCTGCTTGGGGGTATATATGCTTTAGTCGTACAACTATTGAATGAGACGCCACGCTTAGTCATTCGTAACTGATATTACCAACTGTAGTGGGTGTAAATCCTTCATAATTGAATCGGATTGCTCAAGTTGTTTTCCATTACGTTTCTAAAAAAAACTTTAAACTAATCAACATCACTCAATACATTTTTAAAGACGAGTGAGCGTAAATCCAAGTTCACCCACAACCTTAAGCGCAAAAATGGACCTCTGCATAAAGCAAGCATGTCTGCCCAAAATCCGATTCTCATAAGTGAAAAGGTATCACTGTTTTGAAGATGTGGAAAAAATGCGCAACAAAGTTTAGACAAACTTCTGCAGTCACGGCAGGGTAGTTTGGTCGGTAAATAACATGGACGAAATAGCCTCATCTGCACTTGTTGCATTTCCACTGTAGTAGAAAACAGCTGGGAAAAAATTAGCTCAGTTTAAATAATGACGTGGAGTTTTCAGGGAAGCATATAGTGACATAGAAATCTCTGTTCCCACTGGGTAAAAGGGAAAGACAAGTCTGTACACACTTACCCAGGGTTTATTAAGTATGCCTGGATGAATGTAGAATGCAAGTTTATCAATTTGTAGCTAGATGTTTCCAATATAGTAGCCTATGTTGTTACGAGAACAATAAAGGACTGGACAGTCGTCATTGCACAATCAGTTGCCTTCACATTTCATTATTTTTATATCAATTAATTAATTTTATTCGTCGTTTTTACTTCAGACTCACATTTTAATAATAGAGGTGCATGTACGAATTTCTCACTGTCCCATTACATAACATATTTAATTATAAATTGAACGGTCAAACTTCAAGCCAGCAGAGGACAATGTGTGTCCTCTAAAGAAAATGTTACTTTTACAAATATTTTATTCACAACATACGATACTACTGAGTTTTAATATTGTTCAAATTTTCTGTACGTATAACTGGCTAAAGAATGAACGCAAGTATAATAAACATCTGCTAATATTTGCAGATGGTGTCGATAAGACAACAGCCGGTGTTGCATAAGTAAACCGAAGACACAAAACACAGAAAGGGGGGAAAGGAGGCAAACAGATCCCTCCCAGAAAGCTCACGCAGTTAGGAGGCGATACAGCGTCAGGCTTCTTGCAAATTGTCTGGGACCGCACAGTTAACATAGGGACGCTGCCCCAAAAACAGAACTGCTCTCGCTAACAACAATAGGTATCAGAAAATATCCTTGCAAATAACACAATCTTGCTTGTGATTTCCCCCCCTCCCTTTGTATTTTTTACTTTATAAATATAGACATTATAAATAATATACAACTTTGCATTACTGACCTGTAAGGCTGGCTCTTCAGTTCATAGTATGTTTTCGGCTCTTGCTGAAATTCCTCACCCACTTCGAAGTCGGGGACGATCCCCGATTCCGACTGCATCGCTCCAGCTGTCACTGTCAAATTTCCCCCAAAATTGTGAAACACGACGTTCCTAATCCTCGTGCGAGCGCAGCGTCAACCGCAGTGGTAGCAAACTGCCATAACACCCTCGCCCGCCCATGCAGTTAGGAATTGGCTTTTAGCCGTAAAGTCCGCAGCACTTGTAGTCCTCCACAATGTATCGGTGAGCTTGGGCGACGTGAAACCGGAAGGAGTCGGAACTACAATCCCCAAAATGCTGTTCGGCAGCGCTACTTCTCCGGCAGTTTGCATGAGCCAATGTCAGCAGCTTTTCATTGGTCGGCGAGATTGGTCGGAGTTTGTCTTTCCTTGTCAAAGCCAATCCGTTAAAGATGCTCTGAAAATATAGGCTTAATGACGCTCTGTTCTGTGCACGTTACTAAATTGTAATAGATTTTTACCTTAGGAGAATAGATTCTGTTGAACTTCCCGCTTCTGAAAACGCCCGAAGTTTCTCAGTTACAGTTGATTCATACACCTTGTGGTGAACTTCGACACATTATCAGCGATTGTACCTGAATAATAACAACAACAATAATAATAATAAAGGTATTGGTCATGGTCATTTGATTTCTAATGTACATTACAGTACATATAGTACTGTACATGCAAAATAAATTCTGACCATTTTAATTGTGTATATGCCTTTTGGTTTTGTACTTAAATGCCGCCCCCCCATTTTTTTTTAGTTAGAAGAAAAGTGTTTCCCCTCCTGATAACCATATGATTGCAGTTCTTTTTATTAAGGCATAAATAGTTTCGAAAGTAGCAAGGACTTAATTCATATGAAACCCCCTTTTTTATTTTTAACACTGAGGGAAGTGTCCATACCAATACTGTGGGAGTACCATGAGTGTTTAGGAGGATGGGGGATTTGGGCTGATTTGAAAACAAAACTAAAAGTGAAGGTACCTCCCATGGATACTTTGTTTGTGTCCTTTCATGAAATAATTCACATGATCAGTTTCAATAACGATTTGCAAATCCATCCATCCAGCAAGATCCTTGTTGCCTTAAATCCAGTAAGGATCCACAGAATATCCCAGAAAAAAAGTGGGAAAAGGAAGGGAATTACCCAGGCATCAACTCATAGCAGGACATGTAATCTGAAAGTGAAAATACTGTAAAAGTGCTGTAACGAGTTGTACAATAAATACACACATGATAAATATCTATACACTGGTATATACGGTATGTATATAGTGTGAGTAGAAAATCATCATGTCCCTTTAAATAGTCACCTTTTATTACCTTACTGACATCAAAAACCAATTACAAACATTTTTTCCCGCTTTATTTACACATTTTACCTTACACCATTCATGCAACAGTTCAGAAAATATATAAAAATTTAAAAACCAGAAAAACAGGATTGTTAAAGTGCTCAGCCCCCTGAATTAATACATGGTTGAGCCACCTTTTGCTTTAACTGCAGCCATCTTTCTGTTTGGATATGTCGATACCAGGTTTGTGCACCTGGATTTGAGAATATTTGCCCATTCTTCCTTTGTAGAACTGTTCATGTTCAGTCATATTTCATAATGAGTGGCAATGGGCTGCTCTCTTCAAGTCCATCCATAGATCTTCTATCAAATTCAGATCATGGTTCTGACTTGGCTACTCAAGGACATTCACCTTCCTATACTTAAGCCCCTGCATTGTTTTTCTTGGAGGTGTCTTTAGAGTATTTGTCATGCTGGAATGTGTGCCACCTGCCTATCGATAGCTGTCTAGCAGAGAGCCAAAGGGTTTCCTGAAGAATTTGGGTCTACTTGGCACCATCCATCTTCCCCTCAATCCTGACCAAGTGCCCAGATGCCACTTATGAGAAACACCTCCACAAACACTATGCTGCCACCACCACGCTTCACACAAGGCATGCTGTACATACGTGTTTTTGGTGGCGTTCTGTGTTTGCTTTTCACCAAATATCGAGCTTGGAGCTCAGTCCAAAACGTTCAATCCTAGTCTCGTTTGACTGAAAAAACTTTAACCACATGTGCGACTCAGTAACTTATTTAGAAAAGGCTTTTTTTCTTGCCACCCTGCCACAGAGGCCAGCTTTGTGGAAAGCTTGTGAGATTGTTGCCACGTGCACAGACTGACAGAAAGACTTGAAAGACCTTAAAAGTTGCTATTGGTCTTCCGGTGGCTGCTGGGCAAGTCTGTAATGGTCACTGCTGAGGGGCTGATGACTTATCCAAATGGGATATGATGATTTTCTATAGGCACTGGATGTATGATTATACTGTATAAGCAGTCTGAGAAAAAATAGAGAAGAAAGAGAGTTCTGTACAGCGTACTTGTCTGTATATGTATATATTTAAAAGTGGGAGGGTATGCGATCCATAGTTATGGGTGGAACTGGATGAAGATTAGCAGTAGTGCAGAGAATTCAGCAGGGAGACAGCGGTGGTGAAAAATCTGTTCCTCAGCCTGTTGGTGCAGGAGTGGAAGCTTCTGTACCTCCTTCCAGATGGGAGTAGGGTAAACAGTCTACGGTTTGGTCGGGAGGAATGCCCCCTAATGTTCCAAGCCCTGTTTCAAATTCAAGGTTGAAGTTCAAGTTTATTTATAAAGCACACTTAAAACGACTTAAAAAGTGTTGAACAATACGATCTGCGAGTCACATACACATCCAACAACAAGATACAAATACTTTAAACATAAACACATGGACAGTGCCCCAATATAAACAGCCACAGCACCGAGGAGCAACTAACTATTGGGATCTAAGCTGTGTCAAATAAAATTGGGTTGAAACAAACAAAATAGAAAATTAAAACAGGAAATAGAAATAAGTAATTAATACGTAAATCAACAAAATTCAAAATAACTAGACAATAAAAGAGGTTCTCTCTAACTGAGTTAAAAGCTAAAGAATAAAAATAAGTTTTGAGATGAGATTTAAAAGATGACAACATAGGGGCCTGCCTTACATTGAGGGGTAAGTCATTCCAAAGATTGCAATGTCTGCAAACGGCCGATCGTCACTTCGATTCAATCGAGATTTCGGAACTACTAAAAGATAGATTGTTTATGCTGGTCCTCGATGGAGGGGATCTGGGCACCAATGAGGTACTGGGCAGTTTTTACCACCAATTACAGGCCTTTCTGGTTGCAAGACAGAGCAACTGTTGTACCACACCATAATGCAGCTGGTCAAGATGCTCTTGATGGTAGACTAGTAAAATATGGTCAGAATCTGAAGGGACAGGTACTGTACACTATAACTAGTCTGGCAGCCTGATGAACAAGCCTGAGGTTGGCTGATGCTAGAAGAACATTACCTGCCTGACTGCGGTGTGACAACAGTAAAGCGTGGTGGAGGAGGGATAATGGTATGGGGCTGTTTTTCAGGGGTTGGACTAGACCCCTTAGCTCCAGTGAAGGAAACTCTTAATGCTTCGGAATACCAAGAAATTTTGGACGATTCTATGCCCCCAACTTTGCGGCAACAGTTTGGGGAAGATCCTTTTCTGTTCCAGCATGACTTTGCCCCAGTGCACAAAGTAATGTCCATAAAGACATGGTTGGATGAATTTGATGTGGAAGAACTTGACTGGCCCACACAGAGCCCTAACTTCAACCCAATCAAACACCTTTGGGATGAATTAGAACAGAGATTGTGAGCCAGGCCTTCACATCCAACATCAGTGTCTGACCTGAAAAATGCTCTTCTGGATGAATGGGTAAAAATTCCCACAGACACATTCCAAAATCTTGTGTAAATCCTTCCCAGAAGAGGTGCAGCTGGTATAGCTGCAAAGAGGGGGGGGGACAAACTCCATACTGATGCCTATGGATTTAGAATGGGGGGGTCATAGAAGTTCCTGTAGGTGTAATGGCCAGGTGTCCCAATACTTTTGTCCATATAGTGTGGATGTTCTTCAGTCTTTTCAGGAAGTGAAGAGATTGCTGTGCCTTTCTGACCAGCATGAAGGAGTTAATAGACCAGGAGAAATGCACTCTAAAGTTCTAACACTTTAGTAATCAAACCACGTAAAATTTCAGAATGTCTCATTCACCTATGTGTAGCCAATCCTGTGTCTATAAGCTTCAGAGCTTCAGAAGTCTTACCTAGAAATGTCTATAATGTGTTTTTTTTACAATTTCTCAGCATGCCTGAAATAGGTTTTTGAAAAATATATGTTTAAAGTTGATTTTAACAAAAAATAGAATAATAACATTCTAAGTGGTCTCAGATTATTAGTGCTGAGTTTGTGCTGAATAAAAGCACATGTACACTGTAACACTTTGGGATAAATGTTTTTTAGATAGGTGAAATATTTAAAAATGTCAAGGCACGTCAGACTACCCCGAAAGTGGCTGAGAGGGCTCAGGCTGCTGAGGGTTAAGCTGGAGACATAATCCACCTTATTTCTCGCTTAGCCAGATAACTTGTCCGATAGTTATATACTGTAATAATAATCTCTTGTTATGCTTACTGGGGTACTGAGAGAAAGGAGGATGGTGGGAGATATTAGAGAGTACAGTCAATAACTGTCCCAGAGATTGAATAATAAAAGTCAAATGTTTAGCAGGAGGCTTCTACTTGAACAGAAACTGAATTACTGGGCAGAAAATGAATAAAGCCTTCACCAGGCACCCTGATCTCAGGAGACCTGTAATCCAGATTTGTTGATTTACTCAAAGCAGGAAAGGGTTACAAAGTCATCTTGGAGAGTTTAGATATTCATTATTCCACATTTAGAGAAATTGTCTGTAAATGGAAACAATTCAGTACTGTGGCTCCCTGGAAGTGGGTGACCAGCGAAGATCCAAAGACATGAAATACACTCCAAAGACAGTCACTGGACCTGATTAACATCTCTGTTCATGAGTCTATCATATACCAAACATTGAGCAGGCATGGTGTCCTTGGCACGATACAATTGAGCTTCCTTATCCAAATAACCCTCTCTGGGTCTGAGGTGTTGCTAGACCCCATAGAGGCCTCACAGCCCATCACCGGTCCAGAAGAGCTTGCATCTCCAGTTCCCAGTCCAGAGTAGCCCATATCTCCAGTTCCCAGTCCAGAGGACCCCAGATCTACAGTTCTCAGTCCAGAGGAGCCCACATCTCCAGTTCCCAGTCCAGAAGAGCCCGTGTCTCCAGTTCCCAGTCCAGAAGAGCTTGCATCTCCAGTTCCCGGTCCAGAGGAGCCCACATCTCCATTTTCTGGTCCAGAGAAGCCCACATCTACAGTTCCCAATCCAGAGGAGCCAATGTCTCCAGTTCCCAGTCCAGAGGAGCCCACATCTCCAGTGCCCAGTCCAGAGGAGCCCACATCTCCAGTTCCCGGTCCAGAGGAGCCCAGGCCTCCAATTCCCGGTCCACCGTCAGCCACCCCAGCAGCCACATTGCGAAATGTCCAGAGGAGCCCACATCTCCATTTTCTGGTCCAGAGAAGCCCACATCTACAGTTCCCAATCCAGAGGAGCCAATGTCTCCAGTTCCCAGTCCAGAGGAGCCCACATCTCCAGTGCCCAGTCCAGAGGAGCCCACGTCTCCAGTTCCCGGTCCACCGTCAGCCACCCCAGCAGCCACATTGCGAAATGT